TTTTTTATTTTCAGATAAAAAACCTAAAATGCCTTAGAAGTAAATGCTTAAAGGTATAGTGGAGGATTTTCATGATTTTTTTTTTAAAAGACCCGCCCTCTCAATTTAAAAACAAAACAAAATGCAGAGGCACAACCCTGTACCTGCTCCCGAGAGGGAACGACTAATAAACTCATGTGAGAGCATGTGCAAGCCCATCTCTACTCGTGCACGCTCTGTTTAAAAGTTGCTGTTTGCATCGCTCATACAACCTTACTTTCCAAAAGAAGATTTGCAATTCTTTCACTATGTCAGACTCACCACCGTGAAAAATGGGGATGAGCATGTAGGACAGCCTAACGTAAACTTATTTAGATGATCCACCCAGAAAAAGATCATCATCCACTATACCTTTAAAGTTAAAAGATAAGGTAAAATAATTTTTATTCTAAAATTAGTTACTCTACGTTCCACTTTTGGACAGTCATCAGTATTTTTGACTGAAATGGTTCCCATGATAAGACGAAATTCCCAAAGGGTTACACAAGTCAAGGATGGTTGGAAACCACTGCTCTATGGCATCATCAACCAAGATGAAAGGAGGTGTGCTTTATGGACATGCCTGACATGCTCTGTTTAAGTGTGCTTTGTGCTGCTGTTCAACTTTGGTGTTGTTATGGATCTAACCCAATGCACCGATTTTAAGTTTCACTTTTTGATAAAGCAGAATTGGTTAAATCTGTTAGATTTGTTACATTGATACAAAGAAACATAAAAAATGTGTAAATGTTGAAAAAACCTAAGCCAGTTATGTCAATTTGTTCTACTAAACAAAGTTGTTTAACAGCAATATTAGTTTATTAAATCAGTGATGTCCAATAATGTTAATACAACTCAATAACATTAATTAAGCTGAACAAAGGTGGCATAATTAACCCTTTAGCGTCTGTAATAAGTAACTTCACAGCATTAATTCTACATTTTGTTTCTATAAATTGTTATATTTAGAGTAAAAAAATAATACCTTTTGCTTTTAATCAATTATATTTATTGGAACCAGTTAACATAATTTGGTTAAGTCAATTTAACATCTCATTTTTTTGTATTCTTTTTCTAAAGTATCACCTTTATTGCTGTAAAGGGGGCCTCATAAAGACTCAGCAACACCTCATTAAAGTGTAGTTTCCTGAGGAGTGTGCCTCCCAGCTCCAGTAAACAAAAATTAAAATGTAAATAAACATGATACCCAGAAAATACAAAGTCAGGTGACCTTTTAAATCCAGGTTTCTGTCAAAACCCACCAGAAGTGCAGAGACTGGATTAAAAATTGAGATGCCTTAAAATATAGAAACACCTCTGTTGCATCTCTCTTTTAGGACTATAGTGTTCATTTTAAATTCTTTTTTTTTGTATTACTTTTAATAAAAGCTTCTAATCTTAACAGCAGGAGAAAAAACACTTAAGCTGAGGTAATAGTTAATAAATGGCTGGAAGTGACTAAGAACTGATAATGTGACAGCAGACTGCTTATATCTCAGCGCAAGAAACAGGCAGAACCAGACAGAAACATGTAAGTGGGGTGGAGAGATGAAGACATATGAACAGAGGAATAAAAGGAAAGCGAGGAGCTTACACATTGAAAAGAGAACATTATAGGCGACCTGCTGCGACAGTAGTCGGGGGGGACGGTGAATAACTGCCTTCATTTAGGCCAGTGTCCTGGTGGTGTGCAGCTAAAAGCCTCAGATGGACACACTGAAAACCACCACTTTGAAAATGATGTGTTCCACCAAAAGTTGATACCTGACACACACACACACCCACACACACACACCCACACACACACATACACATCAATCTCCTCCTCATTCAAACATTTCTCCACATTGGCTGGATTAGGAACACTTTCTCTTGGATCTGTGAGGCTCCTCCATGCACAAAGAAACACTCGGGGACAGGATTAGTAGGCTTAAAGCGGATTCACATATGTCCAGTTCAAGCAATTGGTATTCAAAGCTTTACACTTTCAAATGCCACCAAGAGAGAGCAAAGCCGACCAGCACTTTTCTTTGCATTGGCAGCACCTTTATGAGGAGGGCTCTTTTGCTGGGCCAACAATGAGGCCGTGAATACACATTTTTACTGTTCTACCAGGGGGATCTCATCGGGGAAGGGTAGAGCTCCCAGCAGAGGCAAACATCATTATCCAACTCTGAAGTGAAGGTTGGGTGCAGACGGACAGGACGGAGAGATGACAGATGGATGGAGGGGGTGTTTAGGTGGCGATCAGAGGAAGAGTACTTTAGCTACTTCCACATGTTATTGTTGGTGGCCTGTTCCTTTGCTCCACCTCTACAGATCTGGAGTGGAGAGAGGCTCTCAGAGCCTCAATAGAGAATGCCTGGCCATTTAGTGAGTTCTAACATTTAAACACAGAAATTGGAGTGTTGATGTCTTTATTGTCAAAAAAAAAATTGTGGAAAGTGTTTTTTAAATGTAGGTCTGGCTCTGCTTCTAAGATCTCTCTCTTTTTTTATTAAAATGTTTTTTTTCAGAATGTTAAATGGGCACGAGCAATGGAAAATACAATATTAATGTTTAACGTGCATAGACGATCTTGGTTTGGGATAACCTGAATAATTTTAGCTCTTCTGTTTTAACAATTTGTAAAAACACAAAAGGTTTCCTAACAGCTTTGTTAGGACCAGATGACAAAAAAAAATCTTAATTTATTTTTGATCAAAACAGGAAAAACTCCCCCCATTTCTGGGAGAAGTTCTACCTTCATTATCAAGCAGTGATTCTGAATTAATTTGTCTATAAAAGGTAATAAACAAACCAACAAAAAAAAAAAAAAAAAAAAAAAAAAAAAAAAAAAACAACTAACATATCCCTTGTGTGACTAAAAAGGGTAAAGACATCTTTGGTACAGAAAACCCTTTCTCTTGATTAAAAAAGTTTTATTTGGCTTTATATATATCCTGTGTATTCACCTGCAGCTTTGCAGGTTCTACCAGAATAATAAAGTTCTGTGCAAATTGTAAAATTATGGGAAAAAGGAGGAGCTATTCTGTGAATTATGCAAATGATTTATGCTTCGAAAAAGACATGCAGTGCTGTTAAAACATAAAAACTGATTCATATTGTCTACTTTTCTTTTTTTTTTTTTTTTTTTATCTTTTAGCTTTATGACCTACAACCTGGTACATTATAGATATACCAGGTTGAACATTTTTTTTTTTTTTTTTTAAGCTTGTCCTATCTTTCTTGATTTGAAATCTTGGCATAAACACTGACAGCCTTTCTAGCGGTTACTTAAACTATCCTTAGAGCAAAACGGACTAAATGATTAGTTTTTTCTGTGAATGGCAGCCTGGAATCCTCATATGAAAATTATTGAAAAATGATTCTTACCTTGCTGGGTTGTTTTGATAAATGTGTTTGTTCAAATGCTAGATGGACACTAGGTGTATATTGAGCTGATTACTTATTTTTCTAGAAAAAAGAAAACTCAGAAGCTTTGAATTAATCCATAATTGGTTGCAAACTTTATGAAGGATCATGCGTCAGACTTGGAATTTGAACCTGTTTTTCAGTTTCAGACAATGTCTGTAAAAAAGGGAGAGACACCCTTCAAGATTTGGGGTCCTTTGATTCGTTTCATTTTGTTTTGTGTGTTAAATTTATCTTTTTACTGTAAGATGTTTAGTCCACTTATTGAGTTTATCATATCTGGAGTTTTCCCCAGCTTTGTTTCAATTCTTAAATTGGGAATTTAACAATTTGTTCTTTAAAAACGTACATTTATTAGGTGTTTTTTTTATGCTCTTTTAGTTCATTTCAGTTATTTTTGTCTTTTTAATTTAGTTTCTCTCAGTCTCTGTCAGGTTTCTACTAACCTCACTACAGCTCTTATCCCTGCAGTTGGCTGCTGTAATAAAAAGATAGCATATTTAAAATGTTAATTTATTGTTAGCCAGGAATCTGGGACATGAATACAGTTGACCTTTCAGTTGATCACACGTGTTCTCAGTCTGGTTGATGTCCCAAAGCAGAAGAGAGCAAATAGAGGATGTGTTTTCTCTTTCCTCCTCTGCTTTGAAGTCAACTTCCCGAAACCTGAAATATTGCTCTATATAAAATTCGTCATTATTTACTAACCCTTTTTAAATCTTGATTCATTTTTATATGTAAACATTAAGTTTAAAAATTAATTGTATTATTTAAACTTGTCTAATTGTACTGAACATAGACCTACTTTTGCTTTTCAGATTATTTCTCTTTTATTTTTTTTTTTACTATTCCCTTTTTTCTTTAAGTTTACTTAATTTACATTTTAATTAAGTAAAGGTTTATAAAACTGTTTCTATGTGTAATAACTGTGTTGTTATTATTATAACTTATTTCTTATAATTATGTATTATAATTTTATTAACATAACTAAAAAGTTTCTAGAGACCAAACTGACCACATGCTGCCATATGGGACAACAGAGTCACAGAGTGGGACTGTAGGCGGATAGAGGAATGAGCAACTGAGTAGAAAAACGATTTTTCCGTAAATGTAAACATATTTGCTCCAGTGATTCTCCAAAGCGTAGATTTATCTCCGTTTTCATAGAAAATTTTTATTTTTTTATAGATACAGTTGTTTAATTTTCTTTTTTATTATTATTATTTATTTATTCTTCTCTTGATCCTTTCAGCAAACTTAGTCTAAATATGATATGCTCCTGGTTCTATGATTATTTAGGTTTAAAATAACTTGAAATTCTGAGCTTAATTATTGCAGATGTGTTGTCAAACGCGTTTTTTTAAACTGAGCGGTTGGATCCTGGGTTAGGGGAGAGGAGGGCTTTGACCTCCAGCTGCGCGCTGACAATGGCAGTGGATGGCAGCGCAGCGCGGTTACTGGGACAGTCAAAGCACGCCGCCCCTTTCTGGCCGGCACGTCATCCTCCTAACCAGGCGTTATGAATGGGAAAGCCGCTTTTGTCTGTCTCCGCGTATAAATACGCACCAGGAGTGTCCTCCTCATACAGAGGGAGAGAAAGCCTGCAGCCACGGAAGCAAAGCGGGGCAGGACGCACTCAGGCGACAACAGGCGAGTGAAAGCTCAGGAAACAGAGGAGGAAAGAGACTGAAGAGGTAAAACGAGTGAGGGGAGGGAGAGGAGAGAGGGAGGAAGCCAGCAGCGACCTCCTACCCAACAACCTGGGAAGCAAACTAATAAAATGAATTCAGATTCCAGCCCGAGCAGCAGAGCATCTTCCCCGGATATGGACGGCATGTTTCTGAGAGACCACCATCCGCACCATCTTCACCACCTCCACCAACACGTCGGCTCATCTGTGACCTCCTCCACACAGGGCGGTGAGCACCAGCGCCAAAAGTTGACCAGCGGAGAACACCTGCGCGCCGGAGACGCAAAGTCCGCCTCTGTGGGAAGCAGCAGCAGCAGCAGCAGCAACAAGTACAAACTGAAGAAGCAAGTCACCGAGGAGGAGATGTACCAGCTGCGACTCAAGATCAACGGTCGGGAGAGGAAACGCATGCACGACCTCAACCTGGCCATGGACGGACTGCGCGAGGTGATGCCTTACGCGCACGGGCCTTCGGTGCGGAAGCTGTCCAAGATCGCCACGCTACTACTGGCCAGGAACTACATCCTGATGCTCACCAGCTCCCTGGACGAGATGAAGCGGCTGGTAGGGGAGATCTACGGCGGGCAGCACTCTGCCTTCCACTGCGGGACCGTGGCGCACGCAGCCAGCGCCGGCGGACACTCTGCGGGACCAGCCGCCGCTGCTGCAGCCGCCGCTGCTGCTGCCGCTGCGCATCAGGTGCACCCTCTTCTTGGAGGTGCGCTGTCCTCCTCCACATCCTCCACTTTGTCCAGTGCGCTACCCGGACTCACATCCATCCGAGCCCCCCACGCACTGATGAAGGGCTCCCCAGCTGCACCCCCGGCCCTTCAACTGGGCTCCGGCTTCCAGCACTGGGCCGGCCTGCCATGCCCCTGCACCATCTGTCAGGTGCCTCCTCCTCCGCACATCCCAATCACCTCCACGGGTCTGACAAGACTCACAGGGGAGGGGAAGGACGGTCTGAAATGATGTCCGACACACTGCAGAGACTGGGAGATCATCTGACATCTGTACATAACTAAATCGTGGCATGGGGTGCATGTTGTCGTAAAGATGTTTTCTTGTTAAACGTATAACATAAAGAAAGAAATCTCCTTGTAACAAGGACTTATAAAGGCTGTATTTTTGTTTTGCCACGTGCAGGTAAAAAGTGCAGCAGAATGCAAATTTTCTCTGGTGTTTGAATGAAGTTAGTTTCACGCTACATTGTGATGAAGACTGCATGAACCTTTTGTTTTTATTATTTTACATCAGGCGTCATTTTGTGAAAACGAAGAATGCTTTCTGTGCCTTGTACCAAGGATTTTAGTTTTGAGGTTTATGAGTTTTGCTGAAACGATTTTCCAGCAGCGTGGCTTATTATTTGTTTATTGATTGTGCAAAAATACTGTTTATGTTTGTTTTGTTTTATTTTATTTTTTTTGAAAAGGTTTCTTTTCTTGCATGTTTGTATTATGATCTTGGCATGAATGTTTTTGCGTAAAGACTTTGCCCAGAGACCCCGTGTGTTTATTTTTGTACATTGTTGATGACTGATTCAAGCAAATATTTATTATCATCCAGAGGTCCTGGAAGAAATTTCAATAAAACTGGAATTGTGGATCATAAACTGTCTTTCTTCTTTTATTCATAAAAATCTTGTCATCTTTTAACCATGCTCGATAATAGTTGCAATGATTTTAAAAAATAAATTATTTTTTTTTCTATTTAATGTGCAGTGCTAATATTGCAGTAAAGATGTAATGGAAAAAAAACTGGAAAAACATTTCTTAAAACATCTTTATATTAATCCGTAAACCCAATTTTCTTGCAGGATAAATCAACACATTTATTTGCTCCATACTTCATTTTTTTATTTATTAAATATGCATAAATTCTTAGACAAGCTCAAACAGACTTTTCGCTATTGTTTGACGTATAAGCTAAGCGGTTTTGCGTTTTTCAAATCGCTTTAATGATAAATTCATGGGTGATTTATTTATTTTTTTCCTTTTCTTTATTTCTACTGAAACCAAAATAGTTTTTCCATTGATTTTTACTTTTTTTAGACAGACAAAAAGTTTTTTTATACTGAGAAAAACAATAATTAAAATAATAATAATAATTAATCAAATGATTTCCCGTATAGGTAAGTTAAACACTTTTAATTATAATAAGCTTTGCGTCATAAGGCCTAAATGATTAAAAAACAAATTTTTTTTTCTTAAAATCCAGTTTTCAAGCCATTTTTTAAAAAACATATTATTTTTAAGGACCCCATGTTCACTCAATCGGAATTAAAACCGTTCATCTAAATGCTCTCGGAGAAGAGAAATGAAGATGATGGAGCGGGCTGCAGCAGCAGTCTGCGCCTGGGGAAGCGCAGAGCAGTTTGTCCGCAGGCTCCCATGGGTGTCCCTCCGTCTCATCTCCGCAGCGACAGAATGTATGTTTGTGCAGATTACAAGTTAATTGTTCATGGGGGACCAAGAGGAGCAAAATCACATCAGAGAAAGGCTCTGGGATTACAGGCTGCTAAATGTATAAGATTATACATTCAGGCCCCCCACCCACCCCCTGTCTCACCGCATGCAAATGCTTGTGTGGATTAAGAAAGAAAAAAAAAAGAAAAGGTCTGAATAAAAGTGAGTTAAGAAGGCCTTTTGTAAATTATTTGGCCGGGAGTAAACAGGTTCCCTGGAGAAGTTGAGAAAGAGTTCGTTTTACGCTCTTTTTTTTGTTGTTTTAGGAATGAGCGCAGCCTGTCTGTCCTCTCTGCATGCTGCCAGATGGGATGTAAATAGCTGGGAAGCCGCAATGGCCTTTTAACCGCGCAACACTGAGGAGGATGTTGTCAAGGGAAGCTGGCGGTTTGCGAGTTAATAGTCATGAGTTGGGGTAATTACTTAAGGTTTATTATGCTCGGGTTTCAAAGGAAATGGACTCTTCAATGGGCCGAGAAATACTTCTTAATTCTGGCTAATTAGGAGCTGCGTAAAACAGACACAACGGCTGCTGCAGTAGGAGTAGCTATCAGAGGTCCTTTGTGAGTAAACAAAATACTGCAATCATGCACGTGTAAATTGCACGTAATATGCACATGCAAATCATGCTTCCTAAGGAATAGGTCCAAATGCTAAATTTATAGCAATATATAGAAAGAAAGCCTTAGCAAAAATAATTCTTTTTTTATTCTACAGAAATTTACAACCATCTATTTCATCGGAGAGAATAAGGTTAATTAAATATAATGCAAAGCTCACACTGATTATATAAAAAGGCAAATGGAGTAAGTTAGAATTTTGTGAACTTACATATACACTAATAGTGTATATAATGAACCAATTGCTTTACATATGTTGCATATAAAGATCAAATCAATCATAATTTGGAAAAATACTAATATTCACTACGTGAAATAAAAAAAGAAACGTTGAAAAAAAATCTAAATATAGAGAGAAGTTTAAAGTAAAGTGCAAAAATAAATAAAAGCCATAAATAAAATAAACAGCCAAATGTTTTTGTCTGAAGGCTCGGTCAGTGGCTGAATTGTGACCATCAGTACAACTTGACAAACGACTGGTCCTCTAAAGAGTACACACCTGTTACTGGGGGCTGCTTGAAGTTTATCACCAACATTGTTCACTCACTCCTCATGCAAGCACACACACACACACACACACACACACAATTACTTGGACACGGATGCTAACAAGGCAACAAATGCTGTCATACTCTTTTAGCCACCCTGCACCAAGCTGCCTTTTTTTCATAACCTCCAAATCCATTTTTTTCTCTAGAAAATTAAACTCCTCTTGTGGCTTCCAGCTCAGTTACAGAAATTAGTTTTTAGTTAAAATTAAATGTTTTTTTTTTTCTGTGAGAAATGTGCAAACATGTCTCACTGCTGTATAATTAAGGCTCAGGGATGATGGTGTGAATGTGAAGTGGCCTTTTGGTTTGTTTGCTCACTCGGGCAGAGAGCAGGAGCAGGGCCAAGGCCTGAGGGCAGCAATTGAAAATAAATTTCACTTGAATAAGGGGCAAGTGGACGCATCAGTTGAGCCGCTGTAGAACAAAAGCAGTTGAGGGGATAAGTTATTGGAGGGGCTGACAGCCTGAACAAGGCTGATTATAACCGCCTGGTCATGCTCTGTGCTTGTGTATGTGTTGAAGCAAAGCAGGTGCAAAGGCCATTCCCTTCATGAGTTTACCTCTGTGCCCCCCCACCACCCTCTACCCTAGCCCCCAGTAAGGCCTCGGGGTCCATTCCCTGTCCTCAGCTGATTCCGTGGACTAATGTTTAACCCATACTGCCAAAACAGAAAGCATATTTCCATCATAAGAGCGCTCAGCCATCGCCATCAGCGACTGGACTCATTTGCATGTTAATTGAGCAGATAGAGAAGGGGTGTTGACACCTCCTTTTGTCCATGCAGGGTCGCATGAAGTGAGAGGATGGATCTGCAGGAGGATGCCCGTGTCTGTTGCTGTTTCAGGCTGCTTGTGTCATCTGTTAAGGGACTTTAAAAAAAAAATCAAAAATAGATCAAGAAGATTAATTATTGCAGTGTTTATAAAAAAATACCAAGCGCTTTAATGCACTAAAAATATATTTTTTCTGTTGTATACTCCCATTGAAATGCATGTATATCAGACCTATTGCCATCGATTCATTATTTGGCCTCCACTGCTCGATGAGCTGTGCAAGAATTAAAGATGTGGATTCAAAGCATGGTTCTGAAACAAAACCCTAAATATTAAGCTCTTTTGAGATTGTTAGATTTATCTGAAATAGCAAATAAAAAACACATAATTACTATGCTGACATGTGAAATAAGCTTTTTGATGGGTTAAATGTGAAGTTCATATTATAGATAATAACATAAATGAAGCTGCATTGCAAGGATGAAAGGTCAGAGAGTATTTTTTTATTATTCTGTATGAAAATACTTGTTTGTCTGGCATAATTGGTGAAATATGAGAATGTGTAATAAAAGTGTATAATATATTATTATCATAAGTTCTGCTAAAACTAAATCCACATCTGCAAATAAGGGCTTATGAGAATACATTGTAAAATGTCTTTATGGTCATCAGGATGATCTTTTTTGGATGATCTCAGACATTCCTTGATGTACTTTTAGGTCAACTCTTGAACCCTGACTTCCGCTGAGGAATTTGAGTTAAACATTGCTTTATACAAGCTTCTTGATCGTTTTGAATCTCCTGGATTGCTCTTAAAGTAGATGCTCTCAGAGTCGCTGTTGTACCAGACACCCCTCTATAAGAAAGGTTTAAAACTGTTGCAAAGTTTTTCTAGTAATGAGAGTCAGGAATTAGGAAAAACATATTTAGACTGTTGGATATTAAAGACTTTGCTTCTTATATTGAATTTCTTTAGCTCAAGGCATGATGCGTTACCTTTAAAGACCTTTTAGATATTTTAGAGAGGCTCTGTTTAAAGGACTTTTAACCCTAAAAGTTTGGAAAGCAATCAAGCCTGGACAAAAATCCACCAAGCTATTAAAACAGATTAGAAACACTGAAGAGTGGTAGAAAAAAATAAAGAAATCAATGATGTATGATTACTTATTGGGCCAAATAATTTAAAGATACAAAAAGTAATTGTTACTTGTTAACTTTTTAGCTCTTAAGGATCTAATTTCTAAATCATTAAAACATCAACATCCTTTTTTCAAGATTAAAGATTAAGGTTCACTTGTAACTTTCCCTATTAAACGAAGAATTATATGTTAAAAAAAAAGTCTTAACACGCTCAGGTGTTAAAGTTAGTCCAGGTTCACCCACTGATCAATTCTAACAACACTTGGACAACAATCAGACATTTTCATGTGGAAAAGCCTCTCACCTTTTATTTGAATGTTGTTCTTTTGAATAAATAAGTGATTCCAAACATAGAAAGTGGACTTGACAAATTAGAAACACCATGTTTGCATACACACTTTCAAACAAAGGCCTGTTTGTGTATTGTATACAGTTTAAGTCCGACAGAAAGCCCCTGCATGTGTGCATATGTGTGTGCAGCGCCTGCTTGTGTGTGTTAGCGTTGATATCCTCCAACAGTGACTGACAGATGGCGTTCAGCGTTTGGCCGTAAATGTGCTTTCTGAGTGTTTGTCTGTGTGCCAGTCGCCTGTAGTTTGGAGACTCCCTGTGAGAGTATAACTGTCCTGACACTGCTCAAAACCAACTGTCCTTGATTGTCAACCAATGTACAGAGCACAGCGTAAGTGTGTGCGTGCGTGAACGCCATAGTGTTTGTATCGGCGGCCTCCTGGAAAGAGTAGGCCGAGGGAGCAGCTGTTAATGGGAGAAATATATCTATCTAAATCTCTGGCTGCCACATGCTTTGAATCTGCCCAGAGGAAGGAGTCTTGCAGCATGAAGGGGAAAGCTGAGCAGAAGGAGATTTTTTTTTTAATTTGACTGTAATATTAAAGATAGAGCGAGGGCTGTGTGAGTGTGTATGTGTGTGTGTGCCAGCTTCAGGCCTGGCACAGTGCTGGGTGACAGTCCCCTCTCAGCGGGGGGACAGCCAGGCGACAAAGTGAAACATGGTCGTGAGGAGAGCGAGCCACGACTGAAGCCAAGAACAGACAACACAAA